ACTATAGTCACAATAGTTATTAATTAAATACCTTATTTTTAATTTTACAAAGAAAACATTCCAATTTACGCTACATTTCAACTTACGAACAACTTACGCTACATTACAAAAGGTCGTGCCTTTTAGATTTTTAGGTGCTTAGATACTGGGTAGATATTAGCAAAGTTGTGAATTAGTAGATCGACGTGGAAGAAGACGGCAGTAGTTACAATGAATATCCTAAGTTAGTGAAAGAATGAAAGTAATTTTTTATCATTGAGTATTTTTGACATATTCCTACTTCTACATGAAAAGTGCTGAGACAGCTGCTGTTATCTTAAGGCAACGCGCAAAAGTAAAAAGAAATACGTATACAAGTATCAAGTAACGAAGTTAGCCCTGAGACACACGAATTTAGTAAACTCAATAGCGTTGTATCATGAACGAAGCACTGCAGGTAGAATACTAGTTTTGCGACGTGACCGAATAAGGATAGATGTGAAGTACGTACTAGGGAGCGCAATTTATAAGATGGATTCTGGCCGGACGTGTATTTTAGAAAAAGAAAGCAAAATGTGTTAGATGAAAAAGACGGAAAATCGTTGACCAATACAGAAGCCAAATATTAGGCTGTAAAAAATGACACTTCTTAAAATTGCATATTTGAATGCTTTTTAGATAATTTAAGGTATAATTTTCAACAAAATAATAATAATGATAACGCACACACACAACATAGGCCCGCACTAGGGAAACCCTGTGTCGCGGATGCCATGGACACACACATATAGAACTACAAATTACACCTAAACTCACGAACGAAATAAATATAGGCCATACAAATGTTTCTCCCGGCCCGGGAATGGAACCTGGGACCTCTGCGTGGTAGCCTGGCTTGGCAACCGTTCGGCCACAGAGGCAGTTAAAAAAAATCGATAAAAAAGGAAAAAACGACAGTTGATATAACTGTGGTTATATAGGTTATATTGGTTATATTGGTTAAGGCTGGTGGAAGCCCACAAGCCACATAACCTGTGTGGCACAGCACCGATAAGAGCTATGACAAGACAGTGGAGTACATCAGATTAAAAACCAATTACACCCTTAAGGGGACTGTTTGGAGTCCCGTCACAACGTGAATTTTAATTCGTTTGTGGTGAGAGCCGAATCTAACATCTGAAGACCTTAGAAGAAAGAGAAGTTTTGGCCGGAGGAGGGAGTCGTATACCGACGATTCCGAGGCAGATTACCTGACACCAGATAACGACCTACGTCGCCAACAAGTGCATTTCGTGTAGATAAGTGATTTAGTTTTTGTATTACATTTTCTTTTTAGAATTTCTCTTCCCTAAAGTAACCTGTAAAACAGATTGGTTAACTTACCTTTATTGGAAACAAATTTCGATAGCTGTGTTCTTGACGGTATAGTGATTATCGACACTGCGTCTCTGACAACTGGTGGCTCCACGAGCAGTATGGACTCGCAGCGTATACGCAACGCACCGCTCGCGCCAGATGGCACGCGCACGCGCAGAATCCGCCATGATGCGCGAAGACCTCCGTCCTGAGCTGGACTTAGCTCAGTACGCTGCCAGGCTTCAGGCTAAGAAAATATTATAAAGTTAGTTTTGTTGACATCTCTGGGTGCCTATTACTTTCACTTTTTAAAGACGTTAGATTCATATAGACCAAGGTTACAATTATTGGTGCCTCTTTTTTCTTAAGGCTTTGGTAAAATAACTATTTAAATAAACACTGTAATTTTTTACCTATAAAAATAAATTGACAATTCTTCATAAAAAATTGATACGGAAATAATTCGGAAATTCACTTAAGAGATCAGAAACGCTGTAGGAGGTGAATCAAATGGA